AGCTTACAGTTTTATCCCGACGTTCACTTGTATGTTCCTGCTTCCTTCTTAGAACTGCAACTGGAACTGGTGAGCTGGATCTCTGGATGCTACTAGATTTTTCTGCTGGAAACTGGACCTCCAAACTGCTGGAATAGTAGACTTAAGGACTGCTATTAAGGTTCTCTGGTGATCAAAGGCTCCTACCCCTTATTTCGGTGCTTTCTGGTCTTTTTTATTTCTTTTTTTTTTTCTCTCTACACTTCGAATTCGATCGTCGATTCGTTGTACGGAACTGGGAAACCGCTATTTAGGTCGCTAAGGGTCGTCTCCTTCGAAGCTTCAAACCAATTAACGCCCTTTTGATGATGTTTTGACGAAGGACCAATGGAAAAATATCGAACTTAGTATTGAAGTTCGGTTCGGTTCGTAATGCCCCTTTGTCCGCTTCTCGTCGATCGATGCTGATAGGTATAATAAAAGGTTGAAGTTGCGGAGTAAAAGTGATGATTTATTGACAGCAACTCGTAATTACACAATATGGTGTTCGTTCGGTAACTACTCAATATTGACTGTGTTCATTTGAACTCAAATCCCCAATTTATAATCTCACACATAATAGATACATAATAGATACATAAGCACGTATAATACAATTTAATCTACGCCTTAATTGCGACACTTAGGAAGTTCAAGTAGAAAATATTATTATTCGGCAATTTATTTAGTTGTAGGTAAATGAACTAATTATTAAATTATCATACGATATGGTTTTGCAATATATATAATGCAAACTTATACACGGTGAAACTATAAAATATTAAGAAGTTAAGAATAATGTGAGATTACAAATTAAGGGGTTAATTTGTGATTGAACACCCGGTTTATAGTTATCAGTTTCTGTATCACTTTATACTTTTTCGTTCAAATATATGGATTCGTCTTCATCAGAATTATTGCTATCTCCACTAGGAGTATATTTATGATCTTCATGTTTTCACGTTTCAAACGGATCACTATCAGATTCACTCTCAGTTTGTATTGAATGCTTGTCCAGCACCAATTGAACCATTTTTTCACATCTAGACGATATTTTTATAGATTTTAATTTAAAAAAACAACTTCCCACATAAAAAAATTTTTATGTGGGACCAGAAAAAAATTCTATCCGGTGCTGGTATCTGGTAACTTAAAATAGAACTAAAATATAAAGCACATCACGACGGTTTCGTAGGTACCTATATTGTAATATTTGCTTTATAAATAGCTATTTTATTGGCATTGGCGCTACCGCAAGATTTCCAAATTTCAGTAACGGTTGAACGTAAAGTTCATACCAGACCAGCGTATCTGGACGGTGTGATCATGAACTTCGGATCTTATTTGTCGATATATTTCTCTATATTGAGTTTCGTCTTTATTTTTCCACTTTCTTCTTTGTTGACTAAGGTCTAGTTTTTATCAGTCATCCAATCCTTTTTCTTTATTGGGTCTCTTTCTGCTTTCAAAACTTTGTTTGCGATGGTGACCATGGCGAAATTCATTATATCTAAACCTTGTATTAATGATAATTTAGTCAATTTCATTTGTGACTATATTTCCCACTTGATCAGCTGGAGCTTTCTAGGTATATAGTCGTCTTTTAGGTTGCTGAAACAAAGTATTTGCTATAATGCATTTCTTTTCTTGGTAGAACTGTATTAATCGTGTGTCCCCTTTCTTTCTTTTCTCCAAGTCCTTACTTGTCGGATATATCTTGTGTGATTTCAGCACCAACTTTTTAGTTAGTCTCCCATAATAGTAGTAGCTTCATGCTTTTTGTGCTCCGGAGAAATTGTTTTATTTGGCTGGAGAATTGCTCATTTTCTTCATCTGGTTTGTCAGCTGTTGGTGCATAGAATTGTGTCATATACTATTCAGTAATCTATTTTGCAGCTGCATTATCATGATCTTCATCTGGTTTGTCAGCTGTTGGTGCATAGAATTGTGTCATATACTATTCAGTAATTTATTTTGCAGCTGCATTATCATGATGCAATCAAAGAAAAGGACGAAATTTCGACTACCGTTACGAATCTCCTCCTTGATAATGATTGCGGCTCCGTTACGTCTGGATCCTTCGGCCTTTCCCAAGTGATATACAATATATCCATTACTCTCAAATATGTTTGAACCTACCATTTGACATGTTTGGCAGATACCTAGGATGAGACTGTCTAGTCTGGCCATTTCTAGCTTAATATTTTGTAATGTCGCAGCTTCAAACGTAGTTGTTACGTTCCACGTAGCATCTTATGAAGTTCCACGACACGGGATATTCGTGAGTTGTGGTCGAGTTGGGATCTTATTCCCCTACCGGATCTTGATCGATCATGTTAAGCTGTAATAGAGATATCCACAAGGATCTTTAATCTAGTGGTTTCTCCTGGCCTTCTACATCCTGATGCCGTTGACCATTTCTTGGTTCCTTCGCCTTTGATATCGATTTCACGGTCTCAAGACAACATAATGCCCTAAAACTCATCAACTCAGCCGCCCGAAACTGTTGGTCAGTAAGTGGGAGTTTGTTTATACCGACACTCATTCGATGAGAAGTAATTATAGAAGAAGTGATAGAAGTAGAAAATAGTAACCCGTCTTCCCTCAAAAATCTAATAAACATTCGGGGTCCGAAAAAGTAACAATTGGCCAAGTGAGGGCTATAAGAAAAATTAAAGACATTTTACTCAAGATAAGTTGAAGAGTAGTAAAATGTGAAGGCTCGCACTAATATATACAAGTATATACAAGTAGAAATATTTCAATATCATCATCAGTGTTTTGCAGCCCTTAGAGGGCTTCGACCTTCTTAAGGTTCCCGTGTAATACTGTTCTGTGTTTGAGTTTTTCAATGGGGATTACCGATTCTTAACATCTTCCGTCATATAATATAATATTATAACTATATATATATATATATATATATATATATATATATATATATATATGTATATATACTTCATCTAATTTACATACCTTTGCACGTCATTATCTACGTCAGAGATTGAAGTTGACATAGTTGCCAGGTATAAAAAATCCTGAATCCAAAAGTATTGCCATCTCTTTACAACGACTATTTAAATTCTTATGTGACATTTTTGTCTTATGTGGCATAATTTTGTTCTAAAAAGAACAGATTTTATTAAATAGATAAAAATATAAAACAAGAGGTATTCACTTTAAAATTAAAAAAAATAAAGTACAAAAAGTGTCAACACCGCAACTGTTAAATAAGTGTTACCAATTTATGCCAAAATTTCACCTTCATTCGATTATAGTTACAGTGTGTTCCGAACAAATGTTCTTCATTAAAACGCTTTATAATACATTTATACAAATTACATACATTTATACATTAAGTTAACATTAATAGAAATCTTTAAATATTATTTCTGCGCGTACATAATAAAATATGTCTAGTGGCTGTAATACCAGTGTACTCGGCAAAGCGATTCTAAAAAGAACACACCTACCGTCTAAATATTTCGTGTTGGTATAATGTGACGTCACGGGCTATGACGCCGATGACGTGCATCGGTATGTGAAATAGATGAAGTATATATATATATATATATATATATATATATATATATATATATATATATATATATATATATATATATATATATATATGTGTGTTCGGAAAGATTTCCGCGGTTAGTACAATAAAACTTAGAGCTAAGATTAATATTATTACTAAAATTAATATTAAACTCACCAGTCTTCCGGGTTGAACCGCGTCGTAATCCATTTTGCCAAGCTTTCGGCATCCTCTTTGATGCCTTCCTCAGGGCTTCCGAGGTCTCAGTCTCCCGAGCCCCCAGACACTACTGCACTGTTCACTATTCACTTCACGATCACTACTATCACGTTCACGATCACAGTAGTGATCGTGAAGTGAATAGTGAACAGTGCAGTAGTGTCTGGGGGCTCGGGAGACTGAGACCTCGGAAGCCCTGAGGAAGGCATCAAAGAGGATGCCGAAAGCTTGGCAAAATGGATTACGACGCGGTTCAACCCGGAAGACTGGTGAGTTTAATATTAATTTTAGTAATAATATTAATCTTAGCTCTAAGTTATATATATATATATATATATATATATATATATATATATATATATATATAATAGACTAGTATAGTGTAGACTCAACCATGTTCTATTTTCATAAGGCGCTCTAAATATTTTGCGTATTATCTTTCTTTCGAATATAAGTAGAGAGGGTGCTTCTGATCAATATGTGAGAATTTGGACTCTTAACGTCCTAACAATCTTACTTATGTTTTTTGACATAACCGTTTATTTTTTATTTCTCCCATGTTGTTGGTCGACTTGTGCGCCCAAAGATATGTCTCTCACGGCTTCGAAGTTTTGATCGTTAATAGTAAGATTTGCATCAAATTCCCAGCTTTTGTGTGTATAAGTGGGCATAAACGTGGTTTTAGTTAATCCATATGCTGTCGCTGTTAAGTCTGTTAGGACTTCTCTGCTTCTTGCAGTAATAGATTTAAACATTGGTTTATATTGCATTTATGTCTCCAAGAGTTTTTTGAACGTTAAACTGTAAGATGCATTGTAAAACACAGATGATAGCACAGAGCCTCTAAAGTGTGTACTTACTTCTATGAAACAAAAATTTGTAAAGTAACTTTTTTTTTTTCAAAATAAGATACTTAAATCAACAATATGCGATAAATATACATTGTAATACTTTCATTTTTGAGGATGACACGGAACTCAGAACACTATATCATATTTACAGCTCTTATTTTTTAGTATTGTAGAAAACCCAAATTAGAGAAAAGCGTTGTTTATAGGCCAATTCTATTGGTTTACTTACTCTACAGAAATATTTTTAAATTCCATACTTTTCATATATAATTTTTTTTGTTTGGCTCATATAATTCAAGTATAAAGTATTTAAGGTATTAATGAAATGCCCACTATCATATATAAATAGTTTTATTATAAAAATATTTTAGGTACTGTTGTGTCTATTGCTTTTTTCAACTTCACCGGTATTAGTGTGACAAAGGAATTGTCCGCAACTACTAGGATGGTCCTTGATAGCGTAAGAACGATCGTCGTCTGGATGTTCAGTTTAGCGTTCTTCGATCAGAAGTTTCATTGGTTGCAGGTCAGTAGAAATCTAAATATAAATGTCAATAATTTGAAAATATCGTTGGATTTGAATTGCATTTAATATTTATAATACTCCAGTAAATGACCGTTTTGGAGTATAATTTTCCTCGTCACGATGAATTTGCTTGAAAATTTGGATTTAGGTTCCTCTTACCCTCCACTTTACTTTTGAACTTAAACCCAGGGTAGCTTTTACTTGGCTGGTGAAAGCCACCCCTTCTCGGGGATGAAAAACATACATTAAAAATAAGCCCGGAAATAGATAAATTAACTAATTCTAAGCAACTTTTATTAGAGTTTTTTCACCAAGGTACTACTTTTTGAATTATTTGCGAGTGAAAATGTTCATTTTACAAAATAAAAATCACAATAAAAGTTATAACCAACACAAAAGATAACAAAAAATAATTAAATCTAAATTTACAAAAATACAAAAAGGTTACAGAAGTGAAAACAAACCAAACCGCACTTGGTTAAGTGGATAAACTATCTGGCACTATTATTAATGCAAAACTGGGACTTAAATGTTCATAATTATTATTTATTGAAATTTCTTGAATTTATTGAAATGTTCTTTAAATTGAATACAAAAATTAGCAATCTGAAGGTGAAGATGGAGGAACTTTAGATACGTCCAGATAATGGATATGATACCATACCATATTACTCACCCAGATAAGTTCAAGATAATGATTACTTACAGTAAATCTTGACGACTGCAACTTAATTCACTGAAGTTAATACTCTATTTGTATTAAACACTGAATTTAATTACCATTAAAGGTACTTTAGAACTATATAATATAATCTAATATAGTATTAGATTTCAAAACTCAAACTATATAAGTGTATACATACTTAACGAAAAAAAAATGCACAGAGACGATAATTTCAGGCAAGCGACCTCACTCAATGATCGCCCCACTAGAAGTAAATCAGTTTTTCAAAAATGTTACGTACTACCCAAGAAAAAAGGAGAAGAAAGGATTTCTCCCACTTAGAAATCATAGGCAAGTTGTATGTAGTTCTGAGAAGGTAAAAATATTCTAATGGACATCGAAAAGTTTGAGGTAATTACGGTATTAGTAATTGTACCTGAGAAATATACAATCTTTTGGATTATGTTATTGTCAAAAGATTACTATAGGTACGTGCCTTCGTTGAAAATTACCAATTTATGAAAAAGAACCCGCATACCGAAAAGCATTAGTTCCTTTCATACGCAGGATTAAGACAGAAAGGATTAACAACTGTTCTTAATTAGGGAATTCCAAGATAGCTTGGTAGGTACAATAATATTTTAAAGATGATAAACCGAACATGAGCGTATCATCACGGGGGTAAAAGAAATAAAAATAATTTAATATAATAATAATAGAAAAAATGTTACAAAGTCTTATACCTATATAATACTGGGATGTTTCAAACAGTGCTGTATTATGTTTTGATAAAGTCTTATACCTATATAATACTGGGATTTTTCTAACCGTGCTGTATTATGTTTTGGTACTCTGATGAGGTCATTTTGCCTAGTTGGGTACTGGTGATAATCAGAGTTTAAATGAAAAGTAGTAGTTATATTGGCTTTTACATGTAGTATACATTTAAGAATATATATAGAAGGTACTGTTAAAATGTTGTATTCTTTAAAATATTGTAGACATGAATGCCTATATGGTAAATCAAAAATTAACCGAATTATCCTTTTCTGAGAGACAAACACTCTTGCAGCATTCACAGCACTACCCCAAAGATTTATATTGAATGCTAAGTGAGAATAAACAATTGCATAATAAACATTTAATAACTGTTTCTTTTTAAGAAAGCTTTTTAATTGCAATATTGCGTAATAACTACTATTTATTCTTTTGCAAACATGATTCATTTGAGATTCCCAGCTCATGTTACTATCAAGATACAAACCTAAAAGTTTAGTGGAAGTTGTAGAATGAACCATATATGAACCAAATATCTAAATTATAAATGAAAACCTTATGGGGGTTTCCCACTTGAAACGGGACTAAAGTTGATTCAGTGACAAAATTTTTTGGTCTGTAATACCCTGTATAGTAATTTGTTCGGGAAAACGTGGTTTGAAAATTTTCACGGTATTTTCTTTAAAGATAGAGATACCAGCACCGGTATCGATAAGTAATTTAAATTTATTTGATGCGTCTTTTATATAGTACAGGTTTTTAGAGTTCACAGCAAGAAGAGGGCTTAGAGAAAATTCTGTTCAGGAAAGTTCAGAGATGGTTTCATGTCATCCAAATTCAGAGTTTGAATCTGATTCTCTATTTGAGACAAAGATTCGTTCATTGAACTGGCATTGTCTGGTGGGTGGTTCTGATTCGGGACTGTGAGAAAATCCTGATAGTCTTGGCTATCAATTAAATCGGTTGATTGATCAAATGACTGGTAATAACCGGGAGGTGAATAATTATTATCAGAGAAATCTTCGTATTGGTAGTTTTCATTTAAAGCTGAAGTATAATCGTTAATATAGTCAGGCTCATAATTAACGCAATGAGCTCTGTGCCTATCTTTTGAAAAATTAGGATCTTTATGGATTACAGAAGGGCGTACTTGTGAATTATTTTGATTTGGTGTGAATTGAGATCTTTGTTGGTCATTGGGTTCATTGTTTTGGAAATTATTATTTGAACTGAAAGTTGGTCTCTGAAAGACATTGTTTTGACCATTATTGAAGTTTTGATGGCTATTAAAATTTCGGGAATTGTTGAGAACGACATTCGTTGTACGAGTAGCCCATACGTCCACAAAACGTGCATCTATGTGGTTGAAGGTTTAGTCTTCTGATGGGTTGATTATTGTGATTTAGTTTTGGAGGATCGGGTCGATTAATTTTTTGTATTTCGAAATAGTATAATTGTAACTCTCGTCTGATGCGGACTTGAGCTTCAAGAAGGTCTTTTGGATTACTAGCACGAATAATATGAGCGATTTTTGGATCGAGGATGGTCAATATTGTATTGAGGTATTGAAGGTATTGAGCGCCATTGATTAAATTAATACAATTTGAGCCTGTTTCTCTACAGCAGAGAGGTTAGATTTCTGTATGTTATCATTCATTTTTGCATTAAGGACTTGGACACGATTAAGGAATGTAATTGCCGATTCATTCGGAAGTTGTTTGACTCTCTGTAAATCTTGTATCAAAGAAGATAAGTCTCTAGTGTCTCCAAAATGAGAAGTAAGAAGCTGTTTGATTTCTAGATACGATAATGGATTTCTTGAACTTATAAGTTGTGCTGCTATTCCGCGTAATTTATTTTTTATGTGAATTACTAATAGTTGTTTTTGATCACGCGTAGACATATTGTAGGCATAATCACAAGCATTTAAAAATGTGTGTAAAAATATCTGATCACCTGAGAAAATATTTCAGATAATTTATAAGGTTCTATTTCAGGCTGGTCCTCATTACGAGACGCGGGACGAGAAATGTTGCTGTTATCGTTCATGGTGGTTAATAAATCAATAAAGGAAATAGAAATAAAAATATGAGATTATGGATTAATTAACTAAATAATTAATCAAATATAAATATCAAATGATAAATCAAAATATAAATATTAAAATAATAAATCAAAATATTGGAAAAGTATTTTTCTAAGACAGTGTCTGATTAGCAGAATAATCGACAAAAGTAATCGTTAAATTAAATGAAAATTAAAAAGTTGACGATTTACAGAATAATCGCCAAAAGTTTATAATTATTAAAGTAATTATCAAAAAAATATGCAAATTCGGCATAAAATTATTAATTAAAAGAAGTAAAAGAAATAAAATTAATCTTGGAATATCGAACAATATATGGTAATAAAAGGTATAAAACAAAAATTATATACGAGATGATTCAATATTAGACTTACATTAGTTCCAAAAACATTAAGTCGTCTTGTTCTCGACAGCTAATCCACCAGGGGCTTCACTTGGTGTTCCTTCCATAGATTTCTGCAAAGTTAGGACGGCACTGCTTTTTGGAGGTTACTGGTTCTTTTTCTGATTAAAGGATTGGAATCCACCGTTGTCAGTTAAGTTCTTCCTTGTTCTGCCAACGTTTTCAGATTCTACTGACTGCGCCACTTTTTATATCACGAAACACTTTTTTGACTTTTTAAAAAATTAATTTATTACAAAAATATAATTATCAAAGTTACGTGTTACAAATACTTGAACTATAAAAATATAATGAATGAAATGTAAAAATATAATGAACTACAATAATATAATGAACCAAAATAAAGAGCGACAAGCGGTTTTATAATATTAGTAAATGCTGACTCAATGGGAACGTGTAAAAAGCTTGGGTCCCGCTGACTCTGCTGGTACTGCATGTGTAAGGATCCTTATCGGCTCAGGTTGTTGGAAGTGGAAACCTGATACCCTGGGAATCGTCGTGATAAGGAACATTCATTGGTACAATGCATATAACATATATATATATATATATATATATATATATATATAGCAAAACTGGTAAGATTATCGACCGAAATGTAGTAAATAACAATTTATTGTGTTGGAATATCGGGTATGCGGTATGCAGTAAATTACAAGGCAGACGCGAGACAGTTGAGCAATATCTACTGTAATATTCTTAGTATGTCCAAATAATTTTTCTGTTAACAATTATATTTTAAATCACCCTGTATATTTTTAATGTGTAAGTTTATTGTGTTTTAATTGTTTCTTGTTTTTTTTTGTTTGCTCTGTTTTTATATTTAATTACTAGTGACCTAGGTGCTTTTAACCAATACTGTCAGTACTGTTTTGAACATAATATGTTCAACAACTTGTTTAAATACTTTCCACTCTAAATCTGTAAGTGAGTCATTGTTTATTCTAAACTTATTTTTATATAACTTTCAATCATATTTTAGTTGTCTCCTGATGAAGCTGACAAAAAATCAGCGAAATATAGAGGATTAAAAGAAAAAAGAGTTTTTTTTTTAAACAATAACAGACCGC